ACCATAAGTAGGAAAACGCACCACACCAATCCTTCCCCACCCCTTTGTTCTGCAAATTCAAAGCATTTTTTAAAATGAAATGTACAGTGGTACCTCGGGTTAAGTACTTAATTCGTTCCGGAAGTCTGTTCTTAACCTGAAACTGTTCTTAATCTGAAGCACCACTTTAACTAATGGGGCCTCCTGCTGCCACCGCGCCGCCGGAGCACGATTTCTGTTCTCATCCTGAAGCAAAGTTCTTAACCTGAAGCACTATTTCTGGGTTAGCGGAGTGTGTAACCTGAAGCATATGTAACCTGAGGTACCACTGTACTACAACAACATGCACCTTCTGCTTCAAACTAGTCTTCATCATCCCATTCCTCTCCCCCCCCCCTTCCCCTTGCCGTATTTCCCACTGTGCCTCTCCCATGTCAAGCTGGCTATGAGCCTGGTAGTTGCAGCATTCTGGATGGGGTCACCTCTCTCCCTTGTAAACACCTGCTACAAGCAGCTGCTGTGGGGCATAAGTGGGGAGAGTACTCAATAGATGGGTCATCTGCAAGTGACCAGGCCAAAAGCAGAGCAAGAGGGAGAGAACTGCCCGTCCCTTTAAATCTGCCCCTTTCTTTGTGGAATGCCAGGTCACCTCCGAATCTTTTGGGACAATAGGAAATCTTCTGGGGGTGACCTCTTATTTCCTGAAAGGAGAGGGGTACGTCCCATTTAAAAAGTGGCACAGCCAGGGCCAGATTTAGGTTTGATGAGGCCCTAAGCTATTGAAGGTAATGGAGCCCTTTATATGTCCAGCTGCCCTTTGTCAACAACAAATTGTCACTGTTTTTTGTTTTGAATATATGCTGTATGGCAATTTATGGACCTAATAGGTATCTAAAGCCATTTGCACATAACAAAATATGTATAGTATTTTATCAAAGTAATTGTTGAACTGAAATACAATTAAGAAGAAGTATATTAATAGTGAAATACAATTAAGAAGAAGTATATTAATAGTGAAATAATTATTAAGCTCTAACTTAAAATGATTTTTTATTCATAACAAACTTAATAATGCAAACACATTGGCATTTGGCAATAACAAAAGTTCCTTTAGAAACACAATTTACAAAGACTCATAATCTAGTCTAGTTTTGGAACGCTTTGGTTTTGGAACAGACTTCCGGAACGGGTTAATTTTGAGAACTGTATATAGAAATGAGCAAACCAGTGATATTTTAGGGAGCAGGCTAGCAGGCAGGGCTCATTACTTACATCATAGGAGCCTACACAACACAAAACACTGTTGCTGTATGTAGGTTTTATTTTATTTGTTTTTTATCTTATATTTTGAAAATGTACATCCAGTTTTTCCCCCTTTAATTTTTTTGGGGGGCCCCCAAGAGAGTGGGGCCCTAAGCTATAGCTTGTTTAGCTTATACGTAAATCTGGCACTGAGCACAGCACAGCATTATGGGGGAAGGAAGGACAGTGTAAGTGTGTATTAGTACTTGGATTCTGATGAGGAATTGTTGTTACCCCTTTGGGGGGCATTTCCCCCACATGTGAAGGAGTTCACCTTTCTTGCAGGCCCTGCCCCTTGTACTATTTACATGTTGGGGAGGGAGGGAGTCCGAAGCAGGGACCTGCTGCAATTTAGAACCCTGTGCAGGTGGCAAGAACCCTCTCCCCCCCAAGTGCTACTGTTAACTCCCTTCTGCTGCTGGAACTCCCTTCAGCCCCAGCTGTAGTCCAAAACATATGGAGCACACTAAGTTGGCAGAAGCTGTTCTAGGCACTGTGCGGGGATTTAAGACAAACATGGCAGACCCTGCCCACAGGCTCATGATCCAAGAGGAGGAAGAGGAGGAGGAGATTAGATGGATGACTCTAGGGTGAGGGGTTGCCTCTAGGATAGGAGAGCCCAAAAGGCAATTGGTCCAGCCAGAGTGTGGTTCAATGTTTCCCCCTCCCTCAGATGCAGGTTGTGTACAAGCTCCATCTCCAAAAACAGACCAGTACTTAAGAAAAGGTGACATCACAGGTAAGGGGGCTGCCCTCCCACCATGTAATCTGAGCACCAGGTTCTTCAGAGTCTGTACTCAAGTATTTTCTATTATTTTTATTTCATGGGACTGCATGGATAGTCAAGGCTCTCCAAGGATATTGCTGAAAGCAGCATTTCTAGGGCCATATAGGGGGTTAACAGGCGATCCAGTCCTTCCTCAAGGTCAGAAATTGCTGAGTGGTTGCTGCACGCTCACCCTTTTAACAGCGAAGGAGACAGACAGTAAGAGACTTACCTTAATCAGCTCATATTCATTCCAATTTCTGCATAACCTGTCACCTCAGCACAAACGCTGCTCTCTGATAACACGCAGAGTCTCGTACTCTATTTCCCACCAATGATTTGGAAGGGTGCATAGTTCAATGGCACGGCACATGCTTTGCATCCAGAAAGCCCCATAAACAGTTCCCACAGCGTCTCTGGCTAAAAGGAAATCGAAGATCAGCACCTGGAACAATCCTTACCTGTGACCTTGGAGAACAGTTGCTAGAAGAGGAGAGAAGGGACCATATTAGTCTAGATCAGCCTGCACAAATCTTGGGTCCACAGGAACACACAAGAAGAGCAGCTTCCCACTGCCCCAGATGAACCATAATGCCCTGATTACCAGCTTTCATTTTAAAAAAGGAGGGAGGGTATGTTTCTAGCATTTGGAGAAGCTGAGATGCAAGGCAAAATGTGCAGGCACTATTCTTCTCATTTGTTTTGTGAGTAACTCACCTGCTGCTGCCTTTTGGGGATGCGTGAGTTTTAATTTGGAATTCTCCTCCTCCAGCATCACCACCCTGGAAAAATTCCTGTGGATGCCCGTATTTGGGTCTCCAGTTGTTGTTGGAATACAACCCCTATGATCCCCAGCTAACAAGGCCAATGGTCAGGGTGATGGGAGTTGTAGTTCCAGAGCTCAGTCTTCCCGCGTGTCACTTGTAACAGTCATTGTTGTTGTTACTGTTGAAATCAGTGGTTGAAATCAGTGTTGTATCGAAAGGTTCAGTGTGCCATCTTGAATCAAAATGGCACCCAGTTTTATCCAAACACAGATGAAAACCTGCTTCTTAACCTCAGGAACCATTATGCAAAATTTGGTTAGGATACCTTAAGAGGTGTCCCAATGCATAGTGAAAAAACAACAGATTTTTTTTAATTAAAAAAGTTTTATGTATGCTGTTGTACTTGCACATATTTTTACGATGCTGTAAATTGCTCTGAGATGCAACATGGGAAGTGATTCATAAATGAAGTAAATAATAAATAAATAAATAAGATAATAAATAAGATAATAAATAGTCCATACCCTGTTTAGAATTCACCTTCAGGGGTATTTGTTTTTATTTATTTTTTATTTTGCCCCTCGTATCTGTACTCTCCTTGCATTTCCATTGTTTTAATGATAAGCAACATGAGCCCACAGCTGCTTGAAGAAGAAAGCTCCTCCCTTTTTATCTATTAAACCAAAAACATGTAATATAATTCAATAACATGTAGAAAATAAAGTAATAAAGAAAAAAAATATATAATTGAACAGAAATTGAAATTAAACATATATTTTGGGTCATTGTATTCACAGTCCCTGGGAAGTATAACTATTGGCATTGGAAGGTCCTTTTTCTGGTATAATTGTTTCTGCTTTAGTGATGGATGGTGCAGGCCCACTTCTGACCCCATGTAGTATCCCATGGGTTTTGACAGGGTACTCACTGTGTGAGAAAACCTTCCAATGGGTCTACTCTAATACCAGGGCTCGTCCACCAGGCAAGAGGAGTCAATTGCCTTAGGCAGCAGGATCCACTTTTAGGCAGTATATCCCTATGTGGATCTTTCTTGCCCCTTGTTCTTGATGTAGAACTTCCCTCACCTGCCCTTCCCTGGTGGAGAGGGGTCTATCTCAGGTGCCGAAATGTATTGGGCCAGCCCTGCCTAATACCACAAAGCAGCAGGAATCAGGATCAGTTCAACTGTTGTGTTTACCGGTGAGCAGCCGATACACTCAGTATAGTAGCTAAAACTTGCTTATGCAGGCAAGGCTGTGGCTGCATACACCCCACCCCACTCCAAGAAAATATTAATTGTGGGCATTGTCATTTTTTAAGGGTTGCTGGGAATTGTAATTCCATGAATTCTTTTGAGGGGGCGGGTCTATGTGCTTTGAATGTGCTTTAAAGCTATGGTGTGTTCACAGCCTAAGACTCCCAACTTAGTTCCCAGGAAACTATGGAGCGAACCACACCCAAATAGGGGAGGGAGCTTCTATCACAGACTGGGCACTTCTCTTTAAAGATACAGGCCACACACACTGAAGTAGGTATCAGTAAGTGGTCCTCAGATTGTACAACATTCTCATTTAAAGTTTAAGAGTTGCTAAAAATTCCAAATAGTGGTGTATCTCACTGGAGGCACCAGTATTAATACTGTTGTCCTCCTTTATGTGTAAAATAACTTTCTGCCACATAGTTGAAAACAAATATTGCTCTCTGCTATGCCATACGTTCTGAATGAATTCTTCAGCAATAGCTGTGAACCAGATTAGACTGTGCCATAAATCCTTATTTTATCCCTCTAAATATTTCCATTTTATTACCAACCTTCCGCTCCCTCAAAAAAAAAAAAACAAAAAAAAAAAAACACACCAGGCCCTGGCAGCTACCAATATATAAAGAATCAATTCTTTTATGCAATCTATTTTCGTTTGGACCATCCCATATCCTCAGTAACGCTAGCGACGGGGAAACTTGATACTTCGCCCCTGCAGACTTTTTTCAGACTCAGCATCAGAGTGTCTTTTCGTTATCCAGCTGCCCAGAGGCCAAGGGAGAACCAGCCAGTAGAAAAGGAAGCCCTGCTACTGATGGGTTTAAAATGTGCAGACCTCTGCATAATGTCAGGACGCTGGAGCATGTGAATTCTCAGAAGCAGGGACGCTGCCGTAATTCAGCGCGTCACCCAACCCAAAAAGAGGATGATGAGGGCAAGTATAGTGGTTCTTCGAGCGCGTTCGCCTCCTCCTTTTAGGCTGGGCTCTTAAGGGTTAAGACGAGGGGGGAAGCGTTGGTGGACGCACAGGCCGGCTCATGTCCTGTCAGTGGCGAATTCGCAATTTCACTCCCTTTCTGAGCATCCTTGCTCCCTACTGCCAGCAATTTCTTGCTGTGGTCGTACACTCCAGCAACCCAGATTCTCCACCGTTCCGCAAATTCTTGCTCAGGTTTCAAGCAAGCCACTGACAGCAGCCTGTCTTATTTTGGGGAACGTAGCCTCCTCGACTGCGGATGCAGCTTAACAATAACGCAGGAAGCATGTTAAAGAACTGCAGCTATTTGCCTTGCACGTTGTGTTCATTTCTCTTTATATCTCCATTTTCCTGCTCCGATCCCATAAAGGACAATCTCTCTTGCAAACAAAACCCCCAGAGCCTAGTTAGCGGGACCGAAGGCTCCCAGACACGGATTGCCTGCCAGCCACAGCACGGTAAGGACATGAGCACTTTTGGCTAGTTTTGCATGGCAGTTTGATGGAGCTTACTGAATGTGGTTCTTCCCACCTACCCACCCACCCCGTTTGCATCCATCATTTCCAGATCAGATTTGTCGGCATGGCAGGCAGCCCCTGGCAGTCCCAGTCTCCATTTTCATCCTCTGAAATCTTCCAGCCTTAAGTAACACATTTAGATTCGCCGTTCCTCTCTCTCTCCATTCTGGAAACTGACGACGCACATCGCCAATGCTGTTCAGTTCCATTCAGCTTACCCAGGAAAAAAAGCATGTCGGGGTTTTGCTGTCGTCCTCATCGTCGTTCTGTGTAAAACCTTACCGAATCCTAGTTGCTTTGCTTGCCCGGATTGCTTTAGATATTAAAGAAGGCTCATTTTATTCGTGCTTGGATGTATCTGAAGAAGTGTTTCTGGAACAGAACCCACCTCTTTCGTTGGGGTGGTGTTTCTGTCGCCAACATTATCCAGAAGCTTTTCTTCCAGCGTTTGGGTGCCTTCTTGCTGGATTTAAATAGATGTCTTGACTAACTAAATAAAAAATAAAAAAATGCAAACGCAGCAACAACGTTTCAGGGCTGTTTCACAAATTACTCAGCAGCAAACCCATGTTTGCCCATGAGTGTACACACAGCAGGACGTTGCACCAAGATGAGGGTTTGGAAGGATGTCATTGTCACATTCACACATTCTGAGCTGGGGGCTGTGTGTGCATATGAAACATTATACCTTTGAGGTGAAATGTGCAGAGGCCCTTATATGGCAGATGCAAAGGGTTTTCTTTGGCATCTCCCTATTACACGTGCTGTAACTCAGTTGTCGAGCATCGTATTTGCATGCAAAAAGGTCCCAGGATCAGTCCCTGGTTTCTCCAGGTAGGTCTTGGAAGGACTCATGCAGAAACCCTGGAGAATTGCTGCCGGTGGGGTCCCAGCAGCACTGCACATTAAAAACAGTGTCATATCATTTTAAACGTCCATGGCTCCCCCAAGGAATCCTGGGAACTGTAGTTTGTTCAGGGTGCTGAGAGTTGCTAGGAGACCCCTATTGTCCCCTCACAGAGCAACAATTCCCAAATTGATTGGGAATTGCAGCTCTGCAAGGGGAAAGGGAATTAGGAGGCCTTGTTTGGCGATTTGTTTGTTTACAGGGTGCCCTCTAGGGCATTGCCGTTACAAGATAGCTTACATAATCATGAAACACACACAAAATGTTTGAAACAATAAAATCCAGACAGCAACTTCGCAATATTTTTAAGCACTGATCATTTACTGCACATGTTCCTAAAGCAGCAATATGCATTCCATTAAATCCACACAATGTAATTGCTTTAACTTGTTTTGCGGGAGAGGTGGAAAGCCTTTGGCATTCCATATGTTGCTTGAGCACAACTTCAATCAGCTCTAACCAGCATGGCTCCTGGTAAGGGATGGTTGGAGCTGTATTCCAGCTATCCATCAACATCTGCATTTCTTTGGATTTTGCGATGCAGGCCACCAGCCAAAATAATTTGTACAGAGATGCATGAAGTAGCATACAGAAATACACTGTGTTAGGCGAAATCATGATTTGCACTGAGCGGGAGAGCTGAGGAAAATAACAACTTTGGGAAACCAAAATTGACAGATTATTCCATCCCTGGAGGGGTGCAGGCATTCCTTCAGATAACCTGATCCAAAATTTTAGGGCTTTACAGCAGAAAACCAGCACTTTGACTTAGGCCCAGAAATGTCCTGGCTTGCATGATAAACTTACTACAGTGGTACCTCGGGTTACATACGCTTCAGGTTACAGACTCTGCTAACCCAGAAATAGTACCTCGGGTTAAGAACTTTGCTTCAGGATGAGAACAGAAATCGGGCTCCAGTGGCGTGGTGGCAGTGGGAGGCCCCATTAGCTAAAGTGGTACCTCAGGTAAAGAACAGTTTCAGGTTAAGAACAGACCTCCGGAACGAATTAAGTACGTAACCAGAGGTACCACTGTACTAGTTTAGGATTTGCGTTGCTTGTTTTGACCACCTGGCCCCAACCAGGATCGAGGCAGCCATGTTCTTCACCAGTTCAAGTACCTGAACCATCTTCAAAAGCAATCCCACATACAAGACATTACCTGCAGTCTAGGATGAGAAAGATGATGGATGATTATGGTGCTGTCTGACTCGCTTGGTGTTTCTTTGCTTCTTTGCCCAAGGAAGGCTTATACAACTAAAACGATCATTTATTTAGACTTCCTATCATTTTCCAGCTGCCCACTCAGACCATAGCCATGCTGTATTAAGACTGCCAAACAATTAGGAATTGCAAAGTTACTAGTCTGGATAGCTCACTTGGTTAGAGTGTGGTGCAGACAACACCAAGGTGGCAGGTTCAATCCCCATATGGGGCTGCATATTCCTGCTTTGCGTGGGGTTGGACTAAATGATCCTCAGGGTCTCTTCCAACTCTATGATTCTATGATCTGTAGTGGCAAAATGGCCAGCACATATTACACTGATTCTGTACCAGTTAATTGGCTATTTATTATTTCATTTCTGTGCTCAGTATAGAACACTGATATTAATGTTTAAAGGATCACTTATATCCATATGAATATGTCTAGGCCTTTAATATCAAGCATACTTTTCCATGTTTATTTGTAATAAAACAAGAAAATCTTTAATAAAAACTAATTAAGAAAAAATATGAAGCTCAGAGACTGTGATCTTTGTCCCATCACTGGTAAATAGGGATGGATGAATGTCAGCCTCACTTCCTCTCAGTTTCATATTTTTCCAATCTTAATTTCAATCCTCTACATTTCCACATCAGTTTGCAAAAAAAAGGGGGGGTGGGGGGGTGTAAAAAGACCTCTGAAAAATTCATCATCATTTTAATGTGGATTTCTTTTAACATGCAATTTCATCTAATATATTCATTTTCACAATCTTCCCAATATAATGCAAATTTTTATTACTTTATACATTTTACGGTTTATTCAATTTTGTACACACTGCTTGGCTGCAGAACTGCAATACACGATTCAGGGAAATGTGAATTTTCAAGAACGGTTGTGTTTCGGTTCATGTATTGTATAGTTTCAAAAAGTGTGAATTAGGTAGATTTGCAAACAGAACAAATTTCTCCCCCATCTCTGGTATTAGGATATGAGAGTGCAGAGATAAAGCAGGCCTGTCATCAGCTATTGGTCAAATGGAGCATTGGTCAAGGGCACCCAGAATCTTGAAAGGACCCCTCACTAGCCCACCAGAGCCCAGCTATGTTGCCATTCACTGTCCATGGTGCCCGCCTGCCATCTTAAGTTACCCAAAATATAATGCTCTGCCCTATACATCTATGAAATGCATTGATTCCATAGACGTATGTTGCAGGCAGAGCCATACCCATCCTGGTCAGGGGATAATTGGGGGGTGGGGAGTGGAGTTCATTGTCAGCCCCATGCCAAGGGCCCATCAAACTGTGGACCTGGCACTGAGATAAGGTCATTCATTGCAGGTACTCAAATACTTTGTGCCAAATCCAAGGGCAATCAGTCTTGGTGTGCTCGCTACTGAAAATTTCTCCTGCATCTTGCTCTGTTTTTCTTATCCTCTATCAGTTAATGAGAAAAGAACCTTCATTCAGTAATTAGCAAAAGAAAGAGAAAACATTGTGGTTAGCATACAGATTTTTTTTCAGGCTTTCCTTGTGGTTGAGATGGCCAAGGGTGGGTTTAGAGGGTTCTTCCTTTCTGCCCACAAATCATCATCCTCTCCAAGCGCCCACACTTTCTGAAACCCAAAGACATCTTCAGCTGGGCTTTCCTGTATGCCTGGGGAACCAGGAAGGTTGCCTACCATGACAGCTGTTCATAATTATTTCTTTAAGTGAAGAATTTTTAGTTCTTTTTCTTTAAAAAAAAAAATCAGTGGATGATGATGATAGTTAATTTCCCCAGCTTCCACTAAAACCCACAGGAGACCTCATGATGTAACTCTTCTCAATGGGCCTTTTTTAGATTAGGGAGCTGGGGAGGCTGCATAGTGCTGGAGAAATGTTTAATGGAAAGGGTGGGGAACACCCACCACCCACAGCCAATTCACAATGATACGGTAAGCTCAACCCTACACCCACCAAGGTTTTGGAAGAATTCTAAAGTACCCTGAGAATGAGGAAGGTGGAAGGAAGCCTCTTTTCAGAGAAAGAAAACTTTAGGATAATTGAAGAGCGTGTTTCAGCATATCACTAGTGAGTGTAGGAGTTTGGGGGTGGAGCACAGAAGCAGAAGTTCGTCTCCAGGTTCTACTGCCTAAGGAAGTGAGGTTGGTGGCTACCAGGAGAAGGGCCTTTTCAGTGATGGTGCTCATTTATGGAATGCACTTCCTAGAAAAGTTCACCTGGTGTCTATGCAAGGGCTTTTTAGGTGCTTTTTGTTCTCTAAGCCAGTTGAACTAGAATGGGCACATATACCTGGTGCATTAGATATTTGCACCAATGCAACACAACAACTGCTAAATTAAAATAATAATCTCCACTTTAAAGCCTTGTTGAAAAAGGAAGACCTTCAATAGGCACTACAAAAACAACAACAACAGGGATGGCACTTGTCTGATATGTAATTGGGGGGGGGGCAGTTCCTAAGGGCAGATGCCACCACATGAAAGGAGCACTTCAAACATTGTACAGAACAGGGCTCAGGATTAGATGATATCTAAAGGAGACTCTCTGCTGCAGAGCACAGCGACTGGTTAGGTATTTTAATATTTTAGCTGCTGCACTGGTTTCAAATAGATTATCAATGCAATAGTTTTTATGACTGGCATTTTTGGTATTTCACTGGTAAACTTTTGCATAAATTTGTATTTGTATATTTCTGCAAACCTCCCAAAGTTTTGTATACTTAAGGGTACTTAACCAATGGTCAACAGTTTTGGTGGCTGAATTTAGGATTATGATAATGGCAAAGATGGAGTTGTCAAAGTTAAGGCCAGAGATGAGAAAGTTGCAATAGTCAAAGCAAAAGAAGATGAGAACATGGAACAGAGGAGGGAAAGGGAAAGGTCATGTTTTGCAATACTGTACAAAGCAGCAAGGTTTTACAACAGATTCAATGTGGGGAGCAAAGGAGAAAGAGATAATAATGAAGCCAATGGCTTCATGCCTGAAGAAGATGGTG